GAACAAGAGAATCGTCGTGCTGATTCTCAAAAATTCGTAGATCGGGGGAAAGGATCGTAGCCTTGTCCAAACCCACCGCAACATCAACATCATCAGCGACAGAGTCCTTTGAATGAATGTCTATGTCTCTATCATGAGCCCGCATCCAAGGCTTCCAGACCTAAGCCCCTCTAAGATCGTCGGCGAATGGCTCGACAATGACTTTCCTTTTTTCTCAACAGATTGCCCCCTTACCAACTTGATAATTGAAGTAGAATCCTCTACCAAGTCACTATCATCCTCGAGTTCAGGCGATAGAGCCCGATGCTTTGAAACAGTAGTGACATGACTTTTGTTTTGAAATGACGGAGAGGGTTCAGTTCGGACTGCAGATGGTCGAACCACCGCTGACATATCTGGCTTTGGTGTCCCTCCAGAAGTCGGGCCTAGGACCAGATCAATGAAATTCTTCATGACTCAGTGATTAACCCTAATTAGTATGTAAATTAATATAGCTAAATAATTACATTATGTAAGATAAATCAGTTAAAAACTATAAATTAGGGTTTGTGCATAAGCTGGAGTTTTATGCATGTTATGTTTAAAATTTCAGGGTTTTGTGCAGAATTGCCGGAAAGTATAATGAGCATTTTGTTAAAGCTTGAAATTAGTAGGGAATAAAGTGTAATTCAAGACCAAGAACATGCAATAAGAAGATGGAAGGCCACTAGCAAACAAGGACCGTTCAGACGGTGGTGGTGGCGTTAGGACAGTGGTGTTAGGCGGTTGGTGCTCATCATCCACCTCCTGTTTCCCTGATGCCTATATAAAGGGACTGCACTTCATTTGAAACGGGATGGTGGGGAAAAAAAGAAAGGGAGAGAATCCAAGGGAGTCCAGAGAGAATTCAAGAAAAAGAAAAGAGAAAGAGAGAAAGTCATAGAGAGAATTCAAGATCCAGTCTGTCCTACTCTCTAGCCAAAACTCTGTATTTCTACATTTCTATTATGTCTTTCTATTTGAAAAATTGAATTGCTGCCACCTTTGTGCCTAAACTGATATTAAAGGTGGTTGTATTTCAATTGTTCCTTGTGAAAGAAGTGTCAGTGTTTGTATTCTATTTACTGTTGTAATGATAATTTCCTGCATTTCTTACTTGTCTATAGTAATGGAGTGTGAGTAGTTACTTATACCCTTCAGTGAGGGGTGAACATATATATAATATTGGTTAAACTATGGAAATACTGATGTTTTATTAAGCTATATATATATATATATATAATATGCTCACGGTTATGAACGCCGAGCAATATTTAATATTTTATACTATCTATTTTTATGAACTTCATGCATGATACAGTGACGTATGTAATTGCATGTTACTATGTAGCCCAAAATTATGTCATCAGTGAATCAACAGCCTACCGGTTGAATATCTACGGTGTTCCAACAGTAAGGCTTGACCTCCAAGTGCACTAAGAATGTTTTAACTGTTGCATGGTACAATTGTCAGATTAATATCTAAATAATCCTCTTGAATTGCTTGTCTTTCTGGATTATTAAGGTTATTTAACTGATACAAAATATAAAAATTGTCAGATGAATAACCTAAATTATCTTCCTGAATGGTTTGTCCTTTTGGATTATTAGGATTGTTTAACTGATACATACTATAATAAAGTCAATTAAGTAATTCAAGTGATCCTCATGAATGTTTTGACCTTCTGATTTACTTGGATTAGTCAATTGACAAATAATACCACCAGTTAACCTAAGAAATTGTTGTGTTATGGTTAAATAATATCACCAGCTAACCTAAGAAGTTATTGTGATATGATTTATATACATCAGACCTACAGGTTAACTTTCCAGTGACTTGGAAGTTAATTGTTGTAAGGTAGCATTTTCAGTACTTAATCAATATAAAACATATGAGATCCTTAAACTAAAGGGTACTTTTTATATTATTGTTTTTTATCAATTTATTTATACATTTCATTTATTTAGACTAATTATCAATATAAGCTCACATCACAAACTATCTCATGTTACACTGCTTCAACAATAACTTCACTGTTCTTATTTTAAATTCTCATTATTAACACTATTCGTGGGATCGATCTTGGACTTAAACCGAGAAAATTACAATTCGACCACTTATACTTGAGTGTATAATATAAAATATCATATCACGAAATAAGTTCGAATCACTCAGTTTCTCCCTATACTTCTCTTCTTAGAACTCTTCGATACAGAAGATGAGGATGCCTTATTTGCCCGAGCATCTCTTTGAACCACTAATTGCTAAGAAGTGAGGGAAGGAACCGCTATAAAGGACTTGTAGGTTGGCTCGTGTCCTAGCAACACATGTGCAGCTCGACACAAAACATTTGTGGCCCCAAATCACCAAACTTTTTGCAAATTCGAAAGATTGACCTTAAAATTAGGCACCTTGCCCTTCGCAAAATCACCTGTAACAAATACAAAATCCTTTTAACTTTTTTTTTTTTTTTTATAATAAAACACATTGAAGAATGAAAGGGCACCAATGAAAATCGCCTAGTGCACCCTCTTCAAACGGACAATTGTAGTGGGGCTTTTAGCCATCTATGTTCCCAATTTTCGGGAACAAACAAAACATCTTTTTCATGACCCCTGTTCGAATTAGGGAGGTGGATGACCAGATAACGGTCGATTTTTTTGACCAGTAATTCTTATCTGAAGTGGGGGCAATCGTATAACAATCAAGGATTTCCCAAATACCTAAGTTGGTACCAAGAAGGTTGTTTAAGGCAAAAACTTGCATTACTATCCTGAAGAAGTTTGGACAATACTGAATGAGACAAAGTTTTAAAGAGTGTAGGACCCAAATAAGCAGAGTATGGAGGGGAAACCTAATTTCTCCCTCTGTAATGGCTCTCGTAGGAATAGGAACAAATTCCTAGGACCCCAACAAGGGTTCATCCTCACCCACCACTCTAACAAACACATCATTTGAGATTGCATATTTGGATTGAAAATTGGATATCTAATCTTTCTTCATAGGAGCCATTGGAGAAAGTAAACAAGTGGAGGAAACTGAAAAGGCACTTACAAAGAAAAAAAGGAAAAGAAACACCAAAAGACCTCAAAGTATGCAGAAATGAAGTAAGGAAGACAAAAAGACAATTATAGTAAATGATGGCCACACCCAGACGAAAAAAAGACTATAATAAATGATGTAACACACTCCTATGAAAAGAAGAGAGGTGCAGTTCGTCTTTTTGCAGGAAATCATGCTGGTCATTTAATGCGATATGATTAAAGAATTAAAAAAAATGTCTTGCTGATATTTGCCACGTGGCAAACATCCCCTGAGGGGCAAATGAAGGAGGGTAAAATGATTGCACCATAAAGCCCGCATAACTGAGCAATCACCATTACTCGGTCAAATAAATTGAGAAATGTTCCCTCGAGTTAATCAGGGGAAAACGTGGGAAAGAGTTCGGCAGATTTATAAGGATTTATTACAAACGTGAAAGGAAAAACCGGAGGAGATGGAAGTCAAAAGTGAGGAAAATTGTGACTGTTATGATAGATGTGCCATCTAATCTGGCTAAAGGAAAGGAACCTTAATCGAAGGATGAGACACATACATTATAAATAGCAAATGCTTATTTATTAAATTATGCATTGAGGTCACTCTGACCAGCTCAACTCCGGTATCTAGCAATTTGCTCGTTTTGCAGGAAAATGAGAGTGGCCCATATTTGTATTTTTCAATCAAATTCTAATGACTTTAGGTAATAGATTTTTTCCTCTTACATATTTATAAAATGAGAAATGAAAAAGATAAATATAAATATAATACTTGAAGGACCTCAAAATGACTTTGCATGATTAAACTAGTTAATGGGCTCACGTGTCCTGAAACACATGGCAAAAAGCCACCTATGAATGCCACGTGACTAAGGCAGAGTGCCTCTGCAGGTCATTGGTTTGCCGGCCCTCGCAAATGCCATAGAAAGCTGAATTAATAGAGGAAGTGTTCGATTAAGTAAACCGAGCAGTAGACAAGACTAAGCAAACACAGTGATTTTAGTTCTATTCTGAGTTTGTTTAGGATAGAGGAAACTAGTCTATCCCGGGTAATCAAAGGCGATGCGATATCGATAAGGAAGTTGTTTACGAATGAGAAAGGAAACCTAAAGAAGCTCCACCGTAAATCAATGGGATTCGGCTAGGAAACGGGTTTACCACCATGAGCCGTGCGAAAACCCTTGTAGAAAGGGCGTCAAGAAAAACTATAAGTATCATGTAATGCTTAAGCCTAAGGTACGCTCTCTCTCCCCTTTGGAATTAGTTCACTTAACATCAAAATATTTACCGACTTAAGTATCATAGTACCTCCAACGGACCGATCTCGAGTCTTTAGCTGTGTGTTCGTTTTGCAGGAGGGAGGAGTTTTGCTTTGTTTCCCCCCAAAAACTACTAGATCCCTTAATCACCATCACTCTCAAAGGTACGCAATTTTTCCTCGTGCACTACTCATGGCCATCAACATTTTTTTGGGACTACGAGAATTCTGATGGAATTATATGAATTTCTTTATATCTAAAATATTGGTAAGAATGTATACTATAGCATCATAACTATTGAAGAACAACCACGTGATTTTGTTGAGGTAAAATAGAAGGTCAAGGAGTATACATTTTACTCATGAAGAAGGCTAAGATATCGAAGGAAGTATCACACCGAGATTTATACATTCCTAAGGTTTAAGTCATAGTTTTTTGGACTATTAGTTAGAACTACTAAGAACATGATCGATCACAGAATGTTATGATTGATCATGAAAGTAACAACTTTTAAAAGTAAAGTTACACATTTTATGGGTGAAGTTACGGTTAGTCATGATCAATCACAACCTTTCTGCATCAATGATAAATAACCTCAATCACCACCGAGCAATTGGTCCAATGGTAAGAATTCAATTCTTTTTGCTCAATTCTTGAGTTTGAGTTTTCATAATTATGGTAGTTCGGTGGAACTAAAGATACTCTTCAATGCCTAGAGTACGTTGTGGGGTCTTAGATTTGGCACCGGCGGTGGTGTGATGGAGTTTTGTGCAGATAGTTGTGCGGTGCCGATGGACAATGCTCCCTACGTAAAATAATCTATTTGCATATCTATTTTACGTACAAAAAAAAAAACCCTCTTATCATTGTAACTTAATTATTAATAGTAACTTTCATAATTTAATCACTCATTCATATAATAGATAATCACGTTCATGTAAAGAAATGGCTTTCAGTTTATCTATTTTCTAGTTTTTTGATTGAACGGTTATACCACATGATACCGCTGATGTAGTATAACCATTACATTGAATATTTACTCAGAATTTTAGAATAAATATTCAATATAACGGTATTCTAAATAAATATTCAATGTAACGGTTACACCATGTCAATAATGCCACGTGATGTAACAGA